GATGTTATGATAGCATCCATTGTTATTGTAAAAGGTACTCTTGTTTGTGAACATGATTTATGGATGTAATGATTATATATCTGTATGATTTATGTTCATGAAGCTATTAAGGGTCTAGCTAAATTAGTAACTATTGTGAAACCGGATGAAATTCTGTCACCATCGCTATACGTATGATGCGGCAAGGATTAAAAGTATATCACCACCGAATCCTTTAGTAACCCTACATTGACTAAACGATCATCAAAGGCGGATCATGGTGCAAGACGACGATAACCATGACCTTTGTACTGGCGGATCATACGCTGAAGTGACGGTGATGTTAACCTCTACACAGGTGTCTCGGCCATCGAACCGACAGTGAACCCGCATCGCTGACAGTCGGGTCGAAGTACAAGGCGACGGTGCTGGTGACCACTACACAGGCCGTTGATGTGCCCACACGATGGTTTTGATAGCCTCGACATAGTTGGATCATTTGCCAATGTGGCGGTATTAGTGTACATCCACAGCCGAGTCGTGCTCCAATGCGACTGAAGTAAGGACCTAATCACGAACGGATCATAAGCCAATCGGCGGTGTTAGTGTACACAGCAGTTGGTCCTAGATGCCGACGGTGAAGGCTATGACCATCACTGTCGACAGCTTACTGCCGAGGCTAAAATTGGACTACGATGTGGGTTATGACGCGACTGTGAAAGGTGCGAGCGTTGTAGTGGAAGCTCGATGCCACGAAGGTCGCAGTGTGTGGAGCTCATCGGCGGCACAGAGCTCGCACGCAACACGCGGCTCGGCGGCGGCAACACGTGCAAAGCTCAACGATGACGCGTAGATGTCAGCGGCGTGGAGCTCGGTGGTAGCATGTGCGGATCTCAGCGGGTCAGTTGAGGCTGTGAAGAGACGTGCGAGCTGTGGCGGGGGGTGAGGAAGCCGATGGGGTGTCGGTTTGGACGGAGGTTGCATGGAGGGGGGCGCTCGAAGGCATGGGAGCTAGTGGTGGCCATGGAAGCTGGGCGGGCGGCCATGGCGCTCGGGCTCTCAGAGCAGAGCGAGAGGTAGAGGAGCGAGGGCGAGAAATGGGAGAGGGAGAGAGGGTGCCAGCTTGGTCTCCACACTTGTGCGAACCTAAGGCGACGAGTAGGGGCGCGAATGGAGCATGGCTGCCATGCGTCGAGCGAGTTCTATCCTGGACATCCTTCCTCTCCCTGTTGCTTTAAATGGAGAGACGGAGAAGAGAGAGACGAGATGGAACCGAAAAGGATATTTGTATGGTGGGTAAAATATGTGGACACCATAAGGCCACGTAGTGTCCGACGTATAGATGAGGGACAGACACCCATACTGAATCATTATCATAAATTAATGGAATACGTTTGTGGGGCCTAGAAGTGGAAGCGCATCGGGACCTAGGCCTCCCGTCGTCGTATGGCGTGTGGGCCTAGAAAGGCCGTCGGCGTCTCGGCAAAGCGGCCGCTGCATCGTTGTTGCGTGATGATGGAGAAAAGAGGAATATGGGTGGGTGGGGGGTTTTGGCGCGGAAGATTGGATTCTCTCGCGCGCACAGACTGATCCGCCCCTCGTAGCTCGGAGACGATGATGCCGTACAACGCGCCCTCCACCAACGACTGAGCCTGGGAGCACGAGCCGGCATCGTCGTCTCGCGAGACGACGGCTTCACCCGTCTGCACGCTCGCGAGGGTATTTTCTGTAAAAATTAAGTCATATACAGACGGCTCGAGTCGGCCCGTTGTACGTTCCCTTAGCCTTTTCCAGGTAAGGTTTTTCTGTTGTTTTTTACACAATTATATACACATGTATTGCTGGACTGTAGGGTATGCAATCCTGTAAATCCGCCTATGGTTGACCGATGTATACATCATTCTTAGATGCTAGCTAAGTAGCCGTTGAGTTGGATATCATTGCTATTTAGTACTTTGTGTTTTTAAGCTTGTATAAATCTCGCTTACAAACAGGGACATAGGTTGACACTCAAATTTGGTTCATGTTGTATTTTACGTGAATATGTTAAGTAGCCAAATTTGTTTGTTAACATATGTTTGGTTAATCGGCCATATTAAAATATTTTTAACGCCGTATGGTATTTTTAACGCCCAATAGCCAGCCAGGATCTACATGTGTGTGAGAAAGATACATCGGAGGATTTCGTTTGGATTGAAAACGGCGTTGATGCAGAAGTACACGAAGACGGAGTCCACATGGAAGCAACTTTATTTGCCGATGTCCATGCAAGGAAAGTAAAAGGGATTTCATCAATGACTCGAGCAATATTGTTTTGACTATGCATGGCGTGAGATACAAACGTGCAAGACAAGATGGCTGCATGTACGTGAGTACGTGACGTGCTTATAATAAAGAAATTGAGGAAAATCAAACTCGAAGTTTTATACACGACCGACTCATCGTAGAAAATTCTGTTGGTTGAGTCGGACTTATACGGAAAGACTAGCCGCCTTAGAAAATTATGTTGAATTGTTGATTGAGTCGGACTTATACGGAAAGACTGTCATATAAATATAAAGTGTGACAACCGATTAAGGGATTCAACACCTAATCGTTAAAATCAATCTAAATTTACCTTTTATTTTATCTTCTACCTCAATCTCTTCCAACCCAGCACACCTCTCGACGTGATATGCCAGCGTTCTAGGTGGCCTTGACGATCCTAGAATACTCTCACCGTGCGTCTCCTCGACGGGTCTTCCCGAGAGGCGTTCATGGGTTTATCAGGTGAAGAACGAACGCCTGATCGGCCTCATCGACCTGTTGGTCGGTCTCACCGTTGGTTCCCTCCGCTGCGTGCTAGAACGTGTGCAGCCTATGGGCGATCTAGCCCATACCGATGTATGACTCGAATCTGCGTCAACAAATAGAGTTGGGCAAGGGGTAGACATTTGCAACCAAATGGTTTGTGGAAAAAAATCTCAAACTATAAGTGACATGTGGGGTGTGTCGAGTGCTTTTTTTAAAGACCCTTGTCATTAATAATAAGAGGAATAGAAGTCACAACTTCATATTACATGCGCGGGAGACGCATGTTAGAACTTATACTTAGACAGGATCTTAATTAACCTAATTATAGGAACACCTAATCACTGATTAGCAATTAATCAGACTTAATTAACACTGACCTTAATCGGAAGATGCCCTTAAGGGCCACTGAAGTCCACGTGCCTGCTCGAGCAGCAGGCATGGTGTCGATCTCCATCTGCAGTCACCATAGGAGATAAGGGCACCGGCACAGTGGAGGCCAATGGCTGGCAGGTCTTCAGGGCCACTCACGAGCCTCCCTTGATCGTTAGGGTTATGACTAATCAACCGTGCTTCGGGAGAACGAGTCTCCCTCGCTTAAAGGCTCGGGGTGTTCTGGGACCAGGCCATTAACGGTCATGACGTGCCCCCGATCAGGGCACCTGGTGGGCCAAGCCCCCTTAGGACTCGGTCAGTCATTGACTAAGCCGAGATCAATCCAACAACACAGCCTAACGCAAAGGGGTTGCGCTAGCGAAACAAAAACATAAGCTAATTACTCATAAAGTTTGGAACAACCCAAAGAGGATAAAGGACTTTTCCCCCGGCGTAAGGCCATGTGGAGAGGTGTCTTTGATCTCTGAGAAGAGGGGCCTGCGGTGATTTCCTCGAATCTCTGAAAATCACTGCGTTCCTTTGTTTCCAGATGCTCCAGAGGGTTAGATTGCTAATGTGTGTGCCATCTTTGAACGTTGATACGTCGTATTCCAGAACCAGTCCTCAACGACATCTTCCATCGTCCAATTGGACGGTGCTAGATTGGTGACATCCTCCATCGTCCAATTGGATGGTGCTAGACTGGTGCAGGCACTCCAGCTTGCTGTCATCACCCAAATTTCTCTTGAATATGGGCATTCGATGAATAGGTGACTGGCTGTTTCAAGGTTCCTTTCGCATAGCGCACATAAGTAATTGTTTTACATCCACGGAGTTGCAAGCGAGTCGCTGTCCATAGCCGGTTTTGCAAGATGAGCCAAAAAAAACTCGGTCTGCAAGGGGAGACGTCCCCGAGCATTGTGCTTAAGGTCGAAGGACCTTTCACGCAAGCCGAGAAAACCCCCGAACCCTATATGACCTGCCCTCATACAGTGGCACCGTCGCCCCGTGAACGGGTTGGGCCTTAGACCTATGCTTTGGGAACGCAGGACAAGAAGGAAGTTTTTTTACCTTCGGCTTGCAAATTCGTTCACGTGGGGGATCAAACCCAACACGCAAGGTGCTACTGAGACATCCTAACCAACCCGACTAGGAGCTGTTCGCAGAGGAGCCAAAGGAATACTTTGCACCACAGCGGTGCCTAGGCTTTCCATGTTAGCTTTGGGAAATTTGAGAGTACCTGACCCGCAAATTGGATATTGTATTCGGAGCTGGCCGAGTACTGTCCGGATCCCTCCCGTGTCCAGATTATTTCATCCTCCCGGCTATCGTGCAGGTGTAGCTGGGTTGATTGAATCGCAATCCAAAGTCTGAAATATTAGTGCAGCAAGTCATGGTCCAGGTTGTAAGCAATATCTTTTTTTTTACAACAGTAAGCAATATCTTTTTGATCCAGAGCTGACCCAAAATGGCCTCTCTGACAGTGCGCTTCTTTCTTTTGCTGTCCTTGTACAGGCGAGGGAAGAGGGATGCTGCTGCTTTGCCGTCCAGTCAGCTAGAATTCCAAAATGACGCCTTGCAGCCATTATGTACTTCGACTTTTGTAGCAGCGTTGAAAAGAGCCATATCCGTAGAGTCGATAGGCAGTGGAGTCCCCTTCCATGGCCGGTCCGGGCTGCTCCATTCGAACCACAGCCATCTGAGTCTCAGCGCTCTGCTGAACCTTATCCGCTGAACCTTATCTGAACCACAGCCAAGCCCGCCATGATCTTTATATGTACACAACCCATTTCTAACAGCTCCTTAGAATCATCCATACCATATACCTTATCTGTTGAGCTCCCCACTCGCTTGGCATGCCTATCCTCCTCTGCAACCTTATTGGATTTCTCTTGTCCCTGCACATCCTAGCATGTTGTGCTGCCATGAGCACCATCTCACCTGGTCAAGCACTTGTCGGCAGCAACAAGATCGTCTCCAGCAACGGCAAGTTTGCCCTCGGCTTCTTCCAGACTGGCAGTAAGTCCTCCAACAACGCCCTGAACTGTTACCTAGGCATATGGTACAACAAAGTCCCAAAGCTAACTCCAGTATGGGTTGCGAATGGTGATAGTCCACTCACGGACCTCACGTCATCAGAGCTCGCAATCTCTGATGATGGCAACCTTGTCATCTTAAACAAAGCCATAAACTCTACGATCTGGTCCACCCAAGCAAAGACTACAACCAACAATACCATAGCTATATTGTTGAACAGTGGAAACCTCATCCTGCAGAAGTCCAACTCATCTGATGATGTGTTATGGCAGAGTTTCGACTACCCAACAGATACTCTCCTCCCTGGTGCAAAACTTGGTTGGGACAGTATCACTGGTTTGAACCGGCGTCTTGTTTCCAGGAAGAATTCAATCGACCTAGCTCCTGGAAGATACTGTGAAGAGTTAGACCCAAGTGGCGCTAATCAGTTCATAATTACTCTGTTGAACTTGTCCATAGCATATTGGTTTAGTGGCGTATGGAACGGTCAAAACTTTCCCTTGGTGCCAGATATGTCAGGGACTCTACTTTTCAACTTCACATTTGTCGGTACAGATCAAGAGAAGTACTTCACATATACCTCGTTAGATGACACAATGGTTGCCCATCATGTAATGGATGTTTCAGGTCAAGTACAGGCATCCATCTGGCTTGAAAGCTCGCAGGATTGGTTACTGATCTACGCCCAACCTAGAACTCAATGTAAGGTCTTTGCTGCATGTGGACCTTTCACAGTTTGTAACGACAATGAGCTTGTGTTCTGCAAGTGCATGAAGGGTTTCTCCATAAGGTCACCAAAAGATTGGGAGCTAGATGATCGAACAGGAGGGTGCATGAGAAATGATGCATTGGATTGTGTTAGAAACAAAAGCACAGAAAGTTCAACTGACAAGTTCTATTCTATACCATGCGTTGGTCTACCTCATAACGCCTACAACATAGAAGCTGCTAACAGTGCAGCTGAATGTGAGATAGTTTGCTTAAGTAACTGCTCTTGCACTGCATATTCCTATGGCCACGGTGGTTGCTTGGTCTGGCATAATGATTTATTCAATGTAAAACAACAGCAGTGTAGTGACATGACTGATTATAACGGAGGAACTCTACACCTTCGCCTTGCTGCAAAAGAGGAGCAAGGCCAGAATATCAGCGTAAGAGGAACAATGATTGCCATTAGCCTTGGTGTCACCTTTGCGATCCTATTTTCTCTTGCCCTTTTACTAATGATTTGCTGGAACAAGAGGAAGAGATATAGTTTCACTTTGGTTGATGCTCAAGGTGGAAGTGGAATTATTGCATTTAGATATACTAGTTTGCAGCATGCAACTAAGAACTTCACAGAAAAGCTAGGAGAAGGTGGCTTTGGTTCAGTATTTAAGGGATTTCTCCATGATTCAACAGCCATAGCAGTGAAAAGACTCCATGGTGTACATCAAGGAGAAAAGCAATTCAGGGCTGAAGTCAGGTCAATTGGAGTTATCCAACATATAAATTTAATTAAGCTACTTGGATTTTGTAGCAGCAGCAACAGAAAATTGCTTGTCTATGAATATATGCCAAACCGTTCCCTTGACATCCATCTATTCCCAGGCGATGCTGAAACCTTGAGCTGGAATACTAGGTACAAAATAGCTCTAGGTGTTGCTAGAGGACTAGCCTATTTGCACGAGAGCTGTAGAGACTGCATTATACACTGTGATGTTAAACCTCAAAACATACTTCTAGATGAATCATTCATCCCCAAAATTGCAGACTTCGGAATGGCAAAGTTTTTAGGAAGGGATTTCAGCCAAGCTTTGACTACAATGAGAGGAACTATAGGATATCTTGCACCTGAATGGATTAATGGAGTGGCCATCACACCAAAAGTTGATGTTTACAGTTATGGAATGCTCCTGTTGGAAATTGTTTCAGGAAGGAGGAACTCTCAGAGAAGATGTAACAGTATTGGTGATGATGATGCTTACTTCCCAGTGCAAGTTGTGCGTAAGCTTATTGTGGGAGACGTTGGAAGCTTGGTCGATCACAAATTACATGGGGATGTCAATCTAATGGAAGCTGAAAGATCTTGTAAGGTTGCTTGTTGGTGCATTCAAGACAATGAAGCAGATCGACCCACGATGGGTAAAGTGGTTCAAATTTTGGAGGGTTTAATAGAACTTGGCATGCCCCCAATGCCAAGACTACTTGAAGCTATTGCAGGAGGTTCTCAATCATCACAAACATTTAAACTCGAAGGGTTGAGCCAAAGTTTTTATCAACAGTGACAGTATTAGCTTTTATATTATCTTGTATATAAAAACTAGTCTATTCTGTGCTCTGAGTGGCTAGCAATCTTAAGAGACATAAGTGTTAGAAGTTTGTGCGAGGATAATTTGGTGTGGATAAGTTGGAGAGCTATACGATCAGATGGCATTATCCAGATATTTCGGCTAGCTTGGTTAACAGAAATGGGAATATGATAACGTGTAGTGGCTTGAAGACATGTGCTTCACTGAACTGAGCTGAGAAACAAACAGCTAGAGCTTTGTGTAATGTTATCATGTTATCATCATCGCCAACCATGGTGTGCTATCCTGTTCTCATTTCCACAATGTCACGGTTTGAGGAACTTGAGAGCTGAAGTGTAGTGGAGAAATAAGTGTCATTAGCGTTGAAGTAACAACAGTTTGGGACGAAGTAATCTATATGATATGAAGTATGACAATATTGTGTATTTTATTTCCTTTCAGAAACATGTAATTGTATCTTGACAGTAGCTATTGTAGCAGTGAGACAGTGACACAGGGGAAGGAGAAGGGAGATGGGGTGGTGGTGCTCGGGTCTGGCTTGCGCCCTGCGTCACCCCAACCAGGTGTTAGAAAATCAAATGTAAAGTAGAAGAGGATAACAATTACTCGCTTCATTCCAAAATCTAAGACGTTTTAGCTTTTCTTGATTCGTAGCTATTGCTATGCACTTATGTCTAAATACATAGTAAAAACAATGTATCTATACAAGCTAAAACATCTTATAATTTCGAATAAAGGGAGTATTTCGAAACAGGCTGCTAAAAATTGTCAAACCATCAGCTAAACAGTTACTAGAATTGTTTTCCTATAATGAAGTCAAATTACTTACATTTCTTTTTCACCGTGACATAATATTTGCATTGCTAACAGCAGAGTCCTACTGTTTTCTTGAAGGGGACGCGAAGATACAAATACCTCCCAGAAAAATTGGCAACTTTTTCTAACTTTCAAACAATAAACAAATATATCCGTCAACTGCTACAAGAATAGAACGGAAGTTAATTTATATGAACTAGCAAATGTGCCCGTACGTTACAATAGGATCCAATACGTATTAAAATAAGATATTATATCATTATTGGACGAGAGTGAGTTATAGCATGGGTCATGAGTTCGAGTCAAAAATTAAATTAACTTAGTGGTAAAATTTTGTTTCTTATGGAGACAGATTAAAATGGTTGTGGTCTCTTATTTATTATTTGTTTTTACTCTTATTATATTTATTATAAAATAGAAAAAAAAAACAGGTAGAGAAAACCATGAAAAACAATGAAAACAAAATAAAAAAAGTCGAGCTAGTGTCAAAAACAACCATGAGAAGAAAATCTGAACATACTCGAAGGCAAGTACAAAACAGTCATGACAAAAATTGGAATGTACTCTAGCAAATAGCCACGGAAAAAAATTAGAACATATTCAGAGCCAAGTGAAAAGCGTCCAAATCAGAACCTAAAGCTACGCATACTTGGAGCAAGTAAAAGCGAACAAACTAGAAAAAAAAAGTGAAAAAAGAGCATAAAAGAAACGAAACCAAGAAATTCTACTCTTCTTTTCTCTTTATTAGATTTCTATTCTTATATTTTTGCATTTGGATTAAGATTCCTATTCCGGTTACTCGAAGTTAGAGAGATCTAATTGGACTAAGATTCGTCCATATTATTATATTTTTTCTATTTGGATTAAGATTCATATTCACCCGAAATCGGAGAGATCTAATTGGATTAGAATTCCTAGTTATATAAAGAGAAGGACTATAGGTGTTTTTCCACATTCAAAAAGTTAGTTAAGGGATGGCCGGACCAAAAAATAGGTGGAGAGAAATTTTACCTCTTTAATATTAGGTATAGAATAGATATAGATAAGCATATTGCACCAAACACAAAGCAAGCACCTACCATGCTGGGTCAAGGATTAGCAACCCCTTTATGTTCAAAAAAGGATTAGCAACCCCTGTACCATATTAATCTACTCCTTTTGGATCAAGTGGGGAAACACGCCTCGGGAACTTGACAGGCACTCATATCTACCAACTATGCATGTTTCACCTACATAAAAATCAAACCAGGTACATGTCAAATTGTCACTGAATGGTGTCGTCGAAGATCCGGAATCAGCACCAGGGAAATAAAAATTGCAAACTGTATTCTCCAAACTCTGCAGTCAGTGAAAGAGGATATTAGTAAATGCATCACGTCAAGATCTCATCTCTTCATCAAACTCCTTGTCCATGTCAAGATTGGATGCCTGGTCTCCCCCATATTGACTTTATTATCATTTAGTCAAGCAAGTCATGTATATACATATAGCACAGTTATTGTTCAAAGTTCAACCACCCTATGCTTTAACAAAACATTTGTTCTTTTCCAAGTATTAGCTAATACAACTTTCTTACCAATATATAGACAATGGAAAGTTTTCAAACCAAAAAATGGTATATGTATATAGTTTACCAACATATTAACTTTGTGCAGGTAGGATATTTACCCAGTGCAGAGACATTCTTTTCTCACAATTGAGCAGGTCCATCTATGTCAGGCCACAAGGCAATGGCATCATTAGCCTTGCCTTTTTATACTGAGTCGATCAAATATTACCAGCCCACACATACACAACTTTTTATACTTCCAGAGTAGACAGACTGAGTGCATGCATTGGACAAGTATTTGCTCCAAACATAGCCTTCAAGATAAGTGTCGATAGTGTCATGAGAGAAATCATGAAGCCCATATGCCATTCTTCTCGCAACGGTTCCACCAAAAGATTTCCCATGCCACTACTTGGCACTGCCCTTGCGATTCTTCTCTCCTTTTGGTCCCTCTTGCCACTTCATGCACCGAGAAGGAGAGAAGCTCCTTGCTCCATTTCGTCTCCGAGCTGTCCCAGGATGGTGGCTTAAGAAGTTCGTGGGAGAACACCATGGATTGCTGCAACTGGGAAGGAATCACCTGCAGGTCAGAAAAGACAGTCACTGATGTCTTCTTGGCTTGTAGGAGCCTTGAAGGGCATGTCTCAGTGTCCCTCGGCAACCTCACCGGCCTGCCGCACCTCAACCTGTCCCACAACTCGTTGTATGGCGACCTACCGCTGGAGCTGGTTTTCTCCAGCAGCATTATTGTCCTTGACGTCAGCTTTAACAAACTCAATGGAAATCTGCGTGAGCTGCCTTCTTCAGCCCTTGGCCAGCCTCTACAGGTACTCAACATTTTTTTTTTGAAACAAAAGGCAAGAACTCTGCCGCTCAATTAAGACGAAAGAAAGTAATAATGTACAAGAAGGTTAGCCAACCGAGTAGCCAGAATGGCACCCGAGGGGCTAACCACCCCATGCGACGCGATTGAACGTACACGACACACTGCCATGAATCGTGGTTGCCGAGCATGGAAGCGGAGCTGCCAGCAGCTTGGACTTCCCATGGCAGGCCACCTACTGGTCACCTCCCGACGGGTCCAAAGGAACGACCGCCACCGGTCATCGTTGCCAAGCTCAACCCACGAAGAGCAGCTCCGACTTTCAGTCGCAAACCCATGCCTCGCATCGAGGTCGCGGCGATAATCCAGATGCGACGCCTTCAGGAAGGGAGCGACGCCGATGGCGCCACCGTCGCACGTCCAAAGTGGACCGGGTTTTCACCCTTGGATGACATGCTAGAGGGGAACACGACGCCCCCAACAGGGAAGCGGCGCCCAATGGCGTCGCCGTCGCCAAAGCTTTCGCCCAAGAACCCTCTAGCACGAACGCCGGGCCGCGAAGCTGGACCCCCTGCCAGCCAACACCGCCATCGTCGCCGTCCCGCCGCCCCACGGAAGCCCCTTCAGAGGGGCATCGACGCGCCGGCTGCACGCAGCAGCCGCACGGCTGCGTCGGCCGTCACCCCCTCCGTCCGGGCCACGCATAGCCGGACCTGGCTCCGCCGCTCGCGTCCCAATGCCGCACGACGAGGCCGCCACTAACCATCTTCGTCGGCCCAGGCACCCACCGATGTCGCAGCCGACCTCGCCGCCAGTCGCAACAGGGCGTGTGCCCCACCATCACGGGCGCCGCCCCCTGCCCTGGGACCGCCGGATCCGGACAGCAGGCCCTGAACCCGGCGCCCCATGCCGCCGCCGCCGCCTCCGTCTTGACCTCGACCGCAGGCACCGGCCGCCGCCGGCCCCAAAGCCAAACCGGCCACCCGGAGACCAGATCCGGCCACCCGGGCACCGGATCTGACCTCTCATGGCTCGGACCGGCGGCCCCAGCTGTCGTCGCCGTCAAGAGAGGAGGAGGGAACGCGCGGAGGAGAAGGAGAGCCCGCCGCCGTCCCCTGCGCCAGCTCAGGCACTAGCCGACGCCGCCATAGCCGCGACGGCCCTCTCCCGCTGAGCTCCACGCAGCTCACGCGAGGGGAGGGGCCGTCGGCCTGCTGCCGCACGCGCCGCTGAGAGAGGAGAAAGGCCCCGCCGTCGCCATCCATGCCGGCCAGGCGGCCATGCCGACGGCCAGCTCCGGCGGCGGCGCGGCAGGGGGGGAGGGGAGGGACTGCTAGGGTTTGGGGGGAGGAGCTGCCTGAGCCGCTCGCGTGGGAGCGACGCGGGGGAGTCGATACAGGTACTCAACATATCAAGCAATTTATTTACAGGACAATTCACATCTATAACATGGAAGTGGATGAAGAATCTTGTCGAACTCAACGCCAGCAACAACAACTTTTCTAGAAAGATACCAATACATTTCTGTGACATATCTCCATCTTTTGTTGTGCTTGAACTCAGCTACAGCCATTTTAGTGGCACAGTTCCCCAAGGGCTTGGTAATTGCACCATGTTGAGAGTGCTCAAGGCTGGTCGCACTGAACAATCTACACTTCCCTTCTAAGTTCGATGTTTCTTTCAATGACCTCGTAGGACCTGTTCCAACTGTCAGGCCCGACGCAGCGAAGAAGGCCGCCGGCGAACACTGGAACACGCCGGAGAACAGAGAACAACTCACGCACACACAGAGCTTTTGGTGCTGCCCAAAGAACCGCAGCGTTTTTTGATTTTACTTCACCTTTTATTCTGTGAATACAAAAGAACAGGACCACGCAGTGGTCAGCCGCACACCGCGCAGCAAGCACGTCCATCCCCATGCCCACGATGCCGCTGATTCACCGGTCATCCCAGGGTTGTGCGAGCTAATCTCGCCACCCCCTCCTATGCGCATGGCAGCCACACAGTTTGGTGCTCGTGCGCATGCATAGTGGAAAGAAAACATGCAAGCCTATCTATTTACAGTGTATGGCTGTGCATGGCTTAACGAACAAACTCCTCCTAAGCCTTGCACTTCTGCTTGAGCTTGACGAGGCTGAGCTTGGCGTGAAGTTCACAGAAGTGTTCCCGTGCCAGTGCCTTCGTCAAGATGTCTGCCAGCTGCTCAGTGGTGCCAATGGAGGCTACACACACCCTGCCTTCCTTGATACACTCATGAATGTAGTGGTATCTTGTATCTATATGCTTGCTGCAATCGTGAAAGATAGGGTTTTTACTTAGCTGGATGGCAGACTCACTGTCGATGTAGATCTTCACAGCGCCTTCCCTCTTGCCCTTCAGCTCAGACAGGAGGCGCGTCAGCCACACACCCTGACAGGCAGCAGTAGTCCCTGCGATGTACTCAGCCTCGCATGAGGACAGGGCCACGACCTTCTGCTTTTAGCTCTGCCAGGTGATGACATTGTTGCTGAGGAAGTAGAGGACGCCGAAAGTGCTCCTACGGGTGTCATTGTCTCTAGCATGATCACTGTCGCTGAAGCCCACGAGATGCACGTCCTTCTCCTTCCTTATGTAGTAGCAGCCGTAGTCCAGAGTGCCGGAGATGTATCTCAGCAACCTTTTCACTGCTGCCAGGTGCTCAGTGGTCGGTTTCTCCATAAACCAGCTCACATAGCCCACCGAGAAGGCCAAGTCTGGCCTTGTGTTCACCAAGTACCGTAGCGAACCGACGATGCTCCTGTACACTGTGGCGTCGATGGCGGGCGATGTGCTTGCCTTGCTCAGCTTGAGGCGTGGCTTCATGGGAATGTGACTGGGGTTGCACCCAGCCAGCCTGGCATTCTAGAGAATCTTCGCTGCGTACGTGCTCTAGCCCAAGGTGATGCCGTCTGCTGACTGAGTCACCTCCAGGCCGAGGTAGTAGTGTAGCAGCCCCAGATCACTCATCTGGAACGTGCCCTTCATCTGTGACTTGAACTCGTCGATGTCACCCGCGCTGCCGCCGGTGATCACAAGGTCGTCGACGTACACGCCCACGACGAGGCGGCGTGCGCCCTCGCCGCGTAGGTACACAACATGCTCGGAGTCGCTGCGCCGGAAGCCAAGCCCGAGCAGTGAGCTGTCTAGCTTCGCATACCAGGCACGGGGAGCTTGACGAAGCCCGTATAGCGCCTTGACAAGATGCAGCACCTTGCCTTCTTGCCCTTTGAGGACGAAGCCCGACAGTTGCTCGACGTAGACCTCCTCCTGCAGCTCGCCGTTGAGGAAGGCTAATTTTACATCCATGTGGTGGACAGCCCAGCCCTCATTCGTGGCATGCGCAAGGTGAAGCCGCATGGACTCCAGACGTGCCACAGGTGCGAACACCTCGTCGAAGTCGACGCCTTGCCGCTGCACGTAGCCTTTCACGGCCAGCCGGGCTTTGTACTTGGAGATGATCCCGGCTGCGTCTTTCTTCGCCTTGTAGACCCATTTGAGCCCAATGGGTCAGGAACATGGCGGAGGGTCGATGAGCTCCCATGTACTGTTCGCCTCGATCGCCGTCATCTCATCGAGCATGGCGTGGCGCCAGCACTCATGCTCCTGCACCTCGGCAAAGCTAGACGGCTCGACGTCGCTGGCCAGGAGCAGGTGCTCCTCCAGCTGCCGATGTGCTAGGCCAAGAGCTGATGAAGAGCCCAGCACGTTGTCCAGCCGATGGAACCAAAGCGGTGCATCATCATCATGGTCAGCATCCAGGTCCGCCTCGCCCTCTGGTGGTGACGCAAATTCCACCGCTCCTCCTGCAGCATGTGCTGGAGTGGTGGACAACATCAGCCCGACGCCATGCATTGCTGGAGAAGTCATTGGCGCAGGTGACGTCGAGGTGGAGCCTGGGGAGGACATCATCATGGAGGTGGTGGAGATGACAGTGCTTGCTGGTGCCTACTCACCGAACTCCATCTCGATCGTGAAGCCCGGCTCGGCACCGTCTAGCTCCCCGTTCCAGTTCCAGCTGGCCACTTCGTTGAACACAATGTCGCGGCTGATGTGCACACGCCGCGTCCTTGGATCAAAGATGTGGTACGCCTTGGAAGCTGCCTCGTACCCGATGAAGATGGTGCGCCGGCTGCGGTCATCGAGTTTCTTCTGGTTCGGCACCGTGATCTTCATGTGGGCGATGCAGCCGAAGGTGCGCAGATGCTAGACGCCAGGGGTGCTGCCAGTCTAGAGCTGGTATGGGGTCTTGCCGCCGATGCTCTTAGACGATGCGCGATTGAGCAAGTAGACAGCTGTGGTGACTGCCTCTCCCTAGAACACGCCAGAGAGGTCTTTTGCCTTTAGCATACTCCGAGCAGTGCTCACCATGGACTGATTGCGCCGCTTGACGACGCCATTTTGCTAAGGGGAATATGGCGCCGTGAGCTCGCGACGCAGACCCAGCTCAGCGCAGTAGTCCTCGAAGTCCCATGCCAGGAACTCTCCTCCTCGGTCCGTGCAAAGTGCATGAACCAGCTTCCCCGTCTTGAGCTCTGTTGCCGCCTGAATGTGCTTGAATGCCATGGCTACGGCGTCCTTGGAAGGCAGCAGCGCGATCCACATGTACCTTGAGTGGTCGTCGATGAGAAGGAGGAAGTAGCGATTGCCGCTGGGCGTCGGTGGCGTGATGGGTCCACAGAGGTCCCCGTGCATCAGCTACAGCACCTCGGTTGAACGCGAGAGCGCACGCTGCGGGAACGACGTTCGTCGATGCTTGCCGGCGAGGCAGGCATCGCAGACTTGGTCGACTTGGTCCAGCAAGGGCATGCCTCGGACCAGCTCCTCATGCCCCATCTTCCTGAGTGCGCTGAAGTTGACATGCTCGAATCGAGCGTGCCACAACCATGCGTCCTCCGTGGCGTGTGCAGCGAAGCACACTGGCCTTGCAATGTTGACGTCGAGCATGTAGAGCCGGCTTGGACTCCGGTGTACCTTGGCGAGCAGGCG